CTCGAGTTTAATGAAACTTTTCTCAAATCCCAGATTGGAACTTCAATAATCCCTTATCTCTGAAAATCCAGCAGCTACCATATGAACACAGTAACGGGTGGATCTTTAAACTCATGTAGTCGTTTTTCTGAATTGTCTAAAAGTGGTCGGTTAGCACGATTCGTCTTTTATCCGCATACTTTCTTCTCTTTGCCTACCGGGTCCTAACCTTTTGAAATTCATTGCATAATCCGAGGTTATATGTCATGCCGATCCTAATACTTCTTTTATTCAAATCGTTTCTTTGAATACATTATCACATCATCCACGAATAGCTTTGGATTTGCGTGTCGCTTAGGCAACTGTTTGAGGACTCGGTGTCTCCTTGAATGGACTTGAATGCCGATCGAATAGATTATCCCTAGAATTCTGAGATAGTCATGCTAGGGCGTTTCTAGGTTTTCTTGATCGAAGAGAGCTTACTAGCAAGTCAATGACTAATTCGCCGACTTCGGAGGAGAAATCCACGACTTGCATGGTCTTTGCGAAGACGAACCAGAGCCTATTACGCGTTCAACTGCATGATTACCACTACACCACCTCGTCTCATTATTGGCATTATTAACATAAATTATAACTATAGTAGTAAAAATTGCTGTTACCATAACTATTATTTCCAAATTTGGGAAGTCTACTACTTTCGTTAAACGAATACGAGTGCCCACTTCAGAAAACGGAAACGCCATTGGAACGGCCACCACAAAAATTGCTGACTGTACCCGTCCGTTTAGGAAAAAGCAACGTTCGAATGGCGGGCACTTGACTCGGCCCTGGAAGGAGGCAAAACGCCTCAACGGCGGCCACGGATCGGTTTTCAGCTCCACGAGAAAATGGTCGATGACGATGACTGCACCGATTCAGCGGCACACCACAACACCGGGCGCGATTGCTCAAACGAAACTGTAAAGATAAGGTGAACCAGACACAGTTTCATTCCTTAGATAAAATCCTTTCCTTTACCTTCAGAGCGCTTTTGAGGCGACCGACTCCAGCGGTGGGAAAAATGCCAATCACAAAGCAGAGGATTTGCAAGGTTTTCCCATTCTTTGAAAAGTTACTTGGTCAATTTTTTAAGGTTTTAAAACACTTCCGTCAATCTTGCTTTTCTACAACACTTCTAAAAAAGTGCTTTTGATCGATGACTTTTACCAGCCAGTTTAAGGTCATATGGTTGTTGCTTTTTTTCTGCTGGCCTTCCATGCGAGACGTTTATTATTGCCACAGTTCAAATCTTAAACCTTGGTTATCAAATGTTTATATGTGAACAATGTTAATACAGCAATAATAATATGACAAGGTCAAAAAGGACAAAGCAGTGGATAAAGTGCTCGGTGCTGATCAATCTCTAAGGGGTGCGTTATGCATTCGACTTTACTAAGCACCGTTAGAAGTGATTGAGCGCATATCTGGTCTACCCAGTGAGTCGCAGTGGGTTGCCGATGTATCGAGTCAGTGCTTCTCTCCTCCCAGGTAGACCAATTTGGTGATTTCGTGGAAGTGAAAAGGTTGATGAACCCGGAGCGCGTGATCGAACCGAGAGCCACGTGTGTATCGCAGGGCACTTCTAACCACTGCTCTACACGCCATTTTGCCAAATGAAACTCGGAACAGCAGGTGAGCCTTGAACGCGCGATTATCCTTTTCGGGAGTTCGCATGTTACCAATTGTACCATCGAGTCCATTGATGTTTAATATACTGTGTGTGAAATACAATGTATAATAATTGAGCCCCTGGAAAGGGTAATCAGGGGTTGGGTAGTGCAACTGAGGCTTCCAGTTTCACTCATATCTCAGCATTCCTGTGGTTTCATTTCACGTATTGTCGTCCCGTAAAAAAAGAATAGGCAGTAAATAAAAGCTGAAACAATAAACCATTATTTTAATGTGTCAGCAAATGAGGTACAGACTGCTACAGGATGCATCGTCCGTCCAAAGTATATCATCGTTCAACACCCTTCCTGTCTAAAATGGCACTGCTGAGGGAAAGGAAGTTAGCCATCCGATTGGTTCTCGCTCCATTGGATTCGACTCGATGCGACTACGAACAACCTCATTGCGATAACGACCAGATGAGGAACACGTACTCGGATTAACGCGGCTATGAAGAAGACGAAGACGTCGAAACGTCAGCCTAATAGATGTTTATCCCAACCTCGCTTCAGCTGATTCATCTAGAAAATCAAGTCATTGTTGTTCCACGCCGAACATCAGTGGGAGTCGGTATTGAAAAAAGTTTCCATATTTTTCATTTTCTTTCTTATTTTACTAACCTTATGTTTGGAAGCAGTGAATCCGCATGAGTTTTCACGAACTTCTTTTTTAATACCGTCCACGTCATTTTTTTGGGTCTTTCACGGACTTAGCGAACCTTCCATCTTTCCGGGGTCGACAAATTGGGTACTAGGTGTGTCTGAGAGGGTGAAAAAACACTTGATATATCGGTAGGTCACTGAAAATCATTGCATAGGCCGGATATCCATTAAACCACTTTTACGATCCTTCCTGAAGTCAGATATATGGGACATCCCTAGGGCTTTAATCAGTGTTGGACGCCTTACCCCTTTACTTATTGCTTATTTCGTTGATTCTAATTAGCTTTCCAAATACTAATAGCCCTTTGTTAGGAGTACAGTCGGGAAGCACGACCGAACACTTTTAAATGCGGCTAGTTCGTCCTCGCCTCTATGACCGTTTATGTTTTATTTTTTTATTTTATTTTACACAACCCCTCTTCACATCTGCTGTGCAGATCCCAGCACTTCTCACATTCGGTCCGTTTACTCGCATCAATTATCCACAAAGATTTTCCAACTTTTACAATATGGCTTCGACTACTGCTTGAGGATTTTCATTTCATCTTGAATATCATAGAACCTATGCGTATCAATTTTATTATTTCATTTTATTTTATACGACCCGTTTTCACTTCTACTGTGCGGATCCCAGCACTTCTCACATTCGATTCGCTCCCTCACATTCATCACTCACGAAGGTCTTCCAACTTTTACGTGTCGCTTCGGTTGCTCTCTTAGGATTTTCATTTCATTCAGAATATCAAACAATACTGGTCGAACCGATTCTTCCTGAAGTCCTGAGATAGCAGGATTGGAGCATTTCCAGTTGGATTGCTGGGATTGATTTTTTCTCGGACAAGCCCGATACCTCGACCCCAGAGGGTTGAGGGCTTGGTGAGCGTGTGACGGTATCGAATGGTCGGTATCATTATCACTGTTCTATCCGCCCCACTATAACCGTATATGCACGAAACAGAATTGCATAGTTGAGCAAACAAACAGCACGTTTGCTCAACAAAAATACGAAGAAAATCACTTGATCAATGCCGAGGTTAATAGAAAGTCGGTCGTGGCAGAATTGCATAGTATTCCGTAACGGTCGAGACGGTACTACATGAGTTCGAGTACGAGGTTTATGTGATTTCTAGTAGAGCTTACGGGGACTAAGACGTTAGCGAAATGATAGATAACTCTACGTTCGTGATAAAAAAACGCCTACGGTAAGCGTAAAGCTAAACAAAATGACCCACTAAAAGCACGTAGGGCACAGAGACATAATGGAAACGATTTCGAAAAGAGTAGAAATTACTATGTTCGCAAAGGAATAAAATACCTCATCGCGAAAACTCTCGGAACATTCTGGATCACCTGTATCATCTGTAGTCCTGTTGATGGTCGAGTGACTCGAGCGGTCGCCCATAAATCTTCTATTTTTCGCTGTCGCGTGCAAGAGTAGGCCAGTGGGTTCTGCTCGCTCTAGGGACTCGTTGAGCATCATATCTTTCTTCAAGGCTCTTTGTGAAGAACTCTGACCATCGGGTCGGTGGTCTTCGTGCAGTGCGTTTGACATCCAGAGGAAACCAGTGACTAACGGCTCTTGTCCGTCGGTTGTCATTCAGGCGCATTACGTGTCCCGCCCACCTTATCTTCGACTATTTGGGGCAGAGAACGGCATCCTTGATCTTGATCGTTGACGCAGGTTAGAGCTTTGGATCCCTTCCCTTACTTGTGTGAAACGGGATAGTCCTAGCATCGTCCTTTCCACTGCGCGCTCAATAACGCTGTGATCTTTCATCCTGCTTACGCAGCGACCAGATTTCTGACGCATACGTTAAAGCAGGAAGTACCGTTGAGTCGAAAAGGTGGGTCCGGAGTCGGGTGTTCCTTGTTCCCCTCACTACATCCTCGATACTCTTGAAAGCTTCCAAAGCTGTTCGTTTCCTTCTGCTCAACTCTGGAGCTAAGTCGTTCATCATGTTGATTTCCCGACCTAGATAGACATAACTGGAGCATTCAAGGACATTCGTTTCGTTGAGCGTGAATAGGGCATACAAAACCAATCCGTTCCTCATGAACATCGTTTTTGTGAGATTTGGTCGAAGACCAATCTTTCCACAGGCTCTATCAAAGTCGCCAAGCACTCGTTCCGCTTGGCTATTGTTAATGTCGTAAGAACGATATCATCAGTACAGCGAAGATGGTGTAATTGCCGACCATCTCCAAATTTCAAAAATCCGAATGAACCACGAAGAGGACTGTGTTTTTATCACGCTTGATCTCACACAATATCTGAGAATGAGACTTTATTGTAATGTGAGAGAGGCAGAGAAGAACACTACCCATCCATATGAGCTCTGTGGTGTTGTTCTCCACATGGAATGCTCAGTGGGAGACTCATAGAAAGCGGTGACTATGTGAAGAAATTATTTTTCATTGTGATTGAAATCCACGTTTTGTGCTTTTTCTGTTGGAGTTATGGAGGTGTTTGGCTGACTCCATTACGGTCAACAACCTTTTCAGGCTCTGATGAAGGCGAAATTTGTCGGCAAATCAGCTTTTTCGTGATGAAGTGTAGTGTAATAACCCCGTGTTTATTTTTCAAGGAAACAGTGAAATATTGATCGACGGACAGATTAATATGGAGTCGATTTTAAAAATCGAATAAGTTTTCAGTATCCAGACGAGGTTATGTTTTTGCCGAAGAAGATACGTACAAAAATTTTGCAACTTTGGGATAGGCGAGATCCCAACGTTGACTGCCGACAGCAGCAACGGAAAACTCGGTAGTCATTTTTCTAGAGGCGATTGTCATGTGCAATGTTGTTAAAGAATCGCCTTACAGTTTGATTCTACTCAACCTACACCCATCTTTAATGCGAGTTGTTCGTCCGCCAGCACTGCGGTGCTCTCTTCCGCATTTCATCGACCGTCTCGAATCGGATCTGCAGGTGAGCACTTTCTCCGTTGTTCTCAATCTGAATGCTGTTTCAACCAAATCTATAACAATGTGTAATTTTTTATTTGCTGCCTATTACTTTTTTAATGGCAGCGTATTGTGTGAAATACAACCACAGTGATGCTGAGATATTTGCAAGACTCAGAACCTGGATCAGACTAGAAGCAACTATTACCGTTTCCAGAGGCTCACGTGTTATCCACTCTACTACTGATGCCCTTGCTTTGCTTTTCTCTCATCCAGGGACTGTATTATTTATTGCCTATTATTTTCTTTCGTGACAATGTATTATGTGAAATCCAACTACAGTAGTGCTGAGATATTTGCAAAGGCCGGGCGAGATTCGAACTCCCTATTACCTCTTTCGAGCGGCGCCTGTGGCGCAGTGGTTGGAGGCGCCATTGCGACATACACGTGGAATCAATTCCGGCGCCTATGGCCCACCAAACCTTCCATCCCTCCGGGGTTAGCAAATTGTTCCTAGATCTGTCTTTGAGGATAGCAGCATTGGCTCATACATCGGTAGGCCACCGCGAGTCATTGTAAAGGCCAGATATGCATAGAAGCACCTCCAACGATACTTAATGAAGTCGAATAAATGGCGCATCCCTCAAGGAGTGATCAACACCGAGTGCTTTATCCTTTATTCTCTATTATCTCTTTCGTGGCCTCACTTGTTTCCCACTGCCACCACTGAGGGCCCTCGTCTTGTCCTCCTCCCAGACGGTTTTTTACCATGCCATTTTTGCGCTAAATCTGATCTTTCACTCAAAACTTCACATGCTCCTTAATCTTTTGCATTATGTGCGCTTTTTTACCAGATGTAAATTTTTCTGAATACTTCTTTTCAAAGTATGTCAATTTCTATGTTTCAACTCCTAAAGATGCCTAAAGAAAGCTGTTTTAACCAAGAACCCTTGCGGTTTTTTTTTGCCCTGGACTCGTTTAGGAGTTACTCAAAGAAGGTTTCCAAAAATGTTTGGTTGAGATCTGTTTTTGGCAGTAAAGCTTTTGCTAGCGCTGGTAGTCTGTTAAACAAATATTGTGCTATTCAGAATCATGTTTTAAATCCTCAGTGAGCTGTGTTTATTCCCCAAAGCAGTTTTCTAACTGTCAGGTTGTTCAGAAATAAATGAGCGTTTGAAAATATTTGCTGTTTTAATGTGTTTTTTACTAGTAAAATATTCTTTTTACCTTGCAATATTATTTATCACTAGAAAGCTAATTTTACGCTTTTTCTAAAATGTCCTTATATTTTGTCAAAAATGGTGTTTTCTACCAATTTCGAGCTTTGCAATTTTGGATGTCAAAAACGAAATTTCGCCAATTTTTTTATGAGTTAAAAATCGGCTGCAGTGCAGCAGAGATGGCTCGAAATATTAACGAAGTTTGAGTTCAGGGCAGTGTTGATGAGTCAACAGTGCGAACATGGTTGCGGAAACTCCGATCTGATGATTTCGACCTCGAAGGCAAAGAAGGCCCCTGGCGTCCCAATGAGCTTGATGACGACGAATTGAAGGCAGTAGTGGAAGCAAACACGCGAACAACTGTTCGAGAGATTGCAGAATAGCCTGGAGTAAGCACAGAAACAATTCCCGCTCACTTGAATCGCATAGGAAGGACAAAAATCCCGACAAGTGGGTGCCGCACGGTTTAAACGATAATAATAAAAATCGCCGTATTGAAGTGTCATCTGCTCCTATTCTGCGCAACAAAAACGACCCTTTTCTTAATCGACTTGTGACGTGCGACGAGAATTGGATTGTGCAAGACAACCGGCAACGTTCAGCACAATGGTTGGATTGCGACCAGGCTCCACAGAGCTTCCGAAAGCCGAAATTGCACCAGAAGAGGTTATGGTGACTGTTGGGTGGTCTTCAGCCGGGCTGATTCCTCACAGATTTTTGAATCCGGGCGAAGTGATTACGGCAGAGAACTATTGCCAACAAATCGACGAAATGCACCACAAACTTCAACAACGACGGGCGTTAATGAACAGAAAAGGACCAATCCTCCAAGACAGCGCCCGCCTTCACATTGCGTAACCAGCGCTGCAGAAGTTGAGCGAGTTGGGCTACGAAACCTTGCCTCATCTGCCATATTCATCAGACCTATTGCCTACCGAATGTCACTTCTTCAAGCACCTTGACTGCACGGGAAGGGCTTCACCAACCACGATGACGCAAAAAATGGCTCCAACGAATTCATCGCTTCCAGAACTTCAGAATTTTATGCAACTGGAATCAATAAACTTGTTTCTTGTTGTAAACATGTGTAAATTTAAACGGTTTTTATTGTTTTGTTGAAGAAAGTTATGAAATTCTAAGCACAACAGTTAAAAACGCTCATTTTTTTTCTGAACTGACTGATACCAGTTTCAGTTCGTAACAGAACGTGTAAAGATCGAACCGATCTTCTATTCTCTTTGACCCTTTTTGTTTATAACCTAATTATGCTAGGGTTTTCGAAGGGCTATGATTGTTCCACTGTGGCCGCTGAACCAAAAGTACACACACGACACCTTACTCACGAATACTGTGTCCAACTTAGTCGTTAGCCTTGCCGTCCATATGGCGCAAGTCTGAATGTACAGTTGCTGTCGGCCTGTCATCGTGACGTCTTTTTCTCACAGCTCACATCAGATTCTATTGCGCAAGCATTTGGTGCTATGAAATTGTAATCATGTGGCTAGCAAAGATGCGGAAAATGTGTACTACGCTGTTATTCGGAACTGAAGAAGGGACGTAGAGCATAGCTACTATATATTATCAAAACGCAAAGTTTCTTGGAGGTTTAGTTTTCCTCTATAAAGTTTATCTGGCCCATGTCTCCGTTGGTGATTTGGATGTTGAACATGGTTCGAATATAACAACTTTGTGAGCTAGCAGCGGAAGGTTTATTTAGTCAACTAAAGAATTCTAGGAATTTGGGCTGTCAGACGACCGATTCACGTTAATGGAGTGGTATGGTGTAAACTTTACCTACAAAAAGAGCACTTGTGGCGCAGTGGTCGGAGGAGCCCTACAACACATATGGGGTCGATCCCCACGCCCGTGGCTCACCAAGCCCTCCATCCCTCCGGGATCAGAAAGTTGGTACCACACTTGTCTGGGAGGATAGCAGCACTGGCTCGATACATCGGCAGGCCACCGTGAGTCATTGTAAAGGCCAAATATGCATGCAATCACCTCCAACGTGCTTAATGAAGTCGAATGCATGACGCATCCTTCAAGGTTTGGTCAACGCCAAGAGCTTTGTTCTTTTTTATGCTATACAAAAGATTGTTGCATTATGTTTGATTCGAATTGAAACAACTGCAGGCCTAGTTTTCTAGAATTCATTGGGAAGATGAGGATCTTGTTGTCTGCATTTCTCATTAGCGCGCGAAATTGACCTTTTACAAAAATTTCTGGAATCGTTCAGAACCAAAGCGAAAGGTTCAGTGAAGGGAGTGGTTACTCTGGCACTCGTAGAATAGAATTAAGTATAAATAGGGCAAAATGAAAGTCGCTCAGTGTAGCATTATCATTTCATGGTAAACTGCTTTGGTCATTTAGGTTCAACTACGACGACTTTGGTCCAACTACGAAACCGGACAACCTTGTTTAACAGTATGTTTTTTGTTTGGCGAAGGTTTAAAACATTTGAAATGATGAAAAAGACAAAGTTGGTGTGGAAAGGCGAAACGGGCCCATTTGCTCATGTAGCTGAGGGTTAACGGCGATCCAGCTTGACGAGCACTGTATCTTGCCGCCTTGTCTTCTGAGGACGTCCGCTGAGTTCGTGATATGGCGACTTGCTGGCTTAAGCGAGTTAGACTGTTGCCTTTGCATAGACACCTTCTGTTCTTTGTGAGCGTACCATTGTCTTAAAAAGACTACGAGCGCTGTTATGCGAGGATTTCTCTTTCCAAAAGTGTCATCTACATGCTCATAAGCTTTCGATTTGCTGTTTGTCTTTTTGTCTGCAATCGCTTGTCAATTTCAGTTCGTGGCGAAACAGCTACAAATTCTTCAACAACACAGTATCTCTCCAGAATCATTCAACATTCCGCCTGCGAACGTGTTTCGTCGACGTGAGCTAATTCGGAAGCTGAAGAGAGGCAACATCGTATGATCGTTGGAGCTCTTCACGCTGTGCAATTGACTGGCATTTATGGTCGAACAGTCAGGGACCACTTTGTGCTGAACGGCAAAGCTGTTATACATTATCGTACTAATGTTTCAATAAACGAGTGTCAATAAAAACCGGTTTGGAAAAAGTACTTGGTAATTAGCAGCACATATCACAAACGTTGTCTTCACTTCTCTCCTCTTTTTTCTCAAACCGCTTTTGATCTCACAGTTTGTTTTCATCCGCTATTTTGGTTTGTTCTGCTGGTGACCTCATAACTGACAATTCAGTGCTATAAGTGAGCGAGAAAAGACACTAATATGAGATATGTCGCATTGAGCATAGCAGTTGAGAAGCAAAGCAAATTCTTCGAAAGGTGTTGTTCGCCCGCGTTGTTGTTTTTTTTCTGAAAATAGAGTTGACACAGCTGAAGTATTCCACAGGACACTTAGCAAATCTATGGCGATAAATGAAGATCATATCAATAATTTACGATGAGTTGTGGTTAAAATGACAACGATGTTTGAGCTACAGAAGGTTTTCCTACAAAGGAACGTCAAAAAGTTGTAGCGCAAAGTTCTTCGTGAGCAGTCCCTTGTGTAGCTATGCGAAGTTGGACTGAATATTAATGAGCATTGAATAACAGCAATACTAAAGCTGGAACGTGGATCGATTGAATAAACGAGCGGTGCTATTCTGTTAAACGTGCTTTGTGTGAATAATCATCTACATGGTTATTTAGGTAGTGAATTGATTGCTCATTAGCGATTTTTAAGGTTCCGTTCCGAATAGGTCTGAAAACATTCAGGACCATAGCGAAAGCTTCTCACCTCATCAGACTTCGTTTTGCCGTTTTTGAACCTTGCATATGGAGATTCTGATTTGTTCAGGATGGATCTCCAACATAACTAGGAGCCGTGGTAAGGAAAAATCAAAAGAAGAACGTAAGCGTAAAAACAGACTCATACATGGAAACTTCAAGCGTCTGGAACTTTTGAGCAACCAAAGATGGAGACGTCGATCAGCAACAGTGGAGTTTTAAAATTGCTAAAGCTTCTTGGTAAAAGATGGTTTATAGGTAACGTGCGAAAACATTGCCATTTGAAGTGTAATTTTTTTTTGAAAAACAAAAGTCGAGTTGAAGCGAATACGAAACCTTTTTCGCGCACATGAGCGGCTGTAGACAAATTATTCAGATCATGGGCTCTGATGGAGACGAAGACGCCTAAATGACAACCAAATAAGTGTTTTGTAACAACTTTACGCCAACTTCTTAGCGCCCAAGAAAATATGGGAATGAAACTTTCTCCAATATTCATTTTCTGTCCTAAATTCATAGAAGAGAAGTTTGCTCACAACAATTCCGATTTGTCATTCCTACTCTTGCACGAGAAGAATCGTGTGAATGCTGTATGAATTTTTTCTGTTCATCCTTGGTTTATCGTAGAGT